GTTTTTAGCCATCTTGGAGAGAATTGTATTTCTTCGTCTTTATTGTGAACCGCCCAGAGTCACCCGCGGGGGAGATGGGTGGCATACAAGCCAAACAAACAAACAAACAAACAAATAAATAAATAAATGGGGATGAGAAAATGCCATTTATGTCCTGAGGCGGATCTGCCCTGCTCCTTCACCTCCTTGGTCAGCTATTTGTTTAGTTTGCTTGAATGCAGGTAAGATGCACAGAAGTGGAAAGTACAAAGCCGGTAAAAATAATAGTGGACTTGCTTTGCCTACAACTACCAGCAAACTTTTAAAATTCATAGTATGTAACTACATAAAAAACAAAATATAAATGGCTAGATAAAACAAGCTAAACACTAACCTGAATATAAAGAGAAACAGAAGCAAAATGTCTGAATTGTTGTACAGTACTACAGTACAAATACAATAACATTTATCTAAAAAGTACTACACCTCAATTTTTAAGCAAGTTAAATCTTGACCATACAGAATCATACTGTCCAGCCTTTTCCTGATAAAGAGCCAGCTCAGAGGCTCAGAGTTCAGGGGGTGGAAAGATATTAAATAGGTTGTTATACCACTTCCTAAGTACAGTACAGTAGTCATCTCAAAGCAGTTTACAAATAAAACACCCTATGAAAGTTCAATGATAAAACATAATACATCAAATAACCTTTAAAAGTTGGCAGGAGGGAAAGGGAAAACAAAGGAAAATGATTCAGTTGACCAGAATGGCTCTTGGTGCCCTCATGCAGGTTAGGAATTCTGGGAGTTGTAGTACCAACTGATTCAGAGGGCTCCTGGATGAGGAAAGATTCCCTTCGCATTTGAAACTCTTACGCATTCAGTAGAGCTACTGAGAAGACATTGAGTTAACAATTGAGAACAGGATGATTTGGGGTGTCCCTTAGCCACAAATTTCCCAGGTGGAGTCAGGCCCCATTTCTGCATCCCCCATTTGTCAATGTCAGCATGAATCTAAATTACTAATAAGATCTGTATTAAAACAAATACTGGTCTATACTAGCCTTCACATGTATTATTTGCCCTAGCATTTGGAGGGAGGAAAAGGACCCACCTGACAGGGAGACATAGCTTCTCCTGGAAGTTCATTGCCCAGGACTACAGAAAAACAACTTACTTTAACAGTCAGTAAATCAGAGGTGACTTTCACTCCACAGAAAGGCAGACATCGGAAAAAGGATCCATCTTAACCAAGTTTAAGCAAGCTGCCTGTAAAATACTTTGCACTGCGGAAGACTTTGTGTGCCACACACAAACAAACAAAAAAGTTGTTGCTGAGAAAAATAGTGAGTACATAATCAAGTGATTAGGAAGATTGCAGCAACTTGGGCAGAAAAAGGAAGCCAGAGGACCAGAAACTGATATTATATTTCACTCTGTATGTCTCCTCACCAGTGTCTGAAAACACAGGACAAAAAGAGATGGAGGACTGCAGAAAAAAAAAGACATTTCTCTATTCCATATTTGCACCTAATGTATGCTCATACGTACATGTGCATTGTATGTGATGTACATTGTGATACAGTTGTGGGTGTGTATGAGAGTATACACATGGTTTCCCCTCTGCCTCAATAAACAATATTATTGTTGTTGGTTGCACAGTCAGCCAGATGTTTAGACCGGATTTGGCATTTTTGTCCACCTATCGAGTCCTTCCCAAGGACCTGGGATAGGCAGATGATGTTGTTTGATGCTGTTAAAGGTATCGTTGCAGGATGTAAGCTGTTCCAAGCAAAGCTACCTTTTGTAATTGACTGACGGTGATTTTGTCAATGCTGATGGTCTTCAAGTGGTGCTCTAGATGTTTTGGGATTGCACCCAAGGCTCTTATTACTCTTGGTATTATCTTTGCTTTCTTTTGCCATAGTTGTTCTACTTCTGTTTGCAGGTCTTTATATTTTGTGATTTTCTCCAGTTTTTTCTCTTCTCTTCTGCTGTCTCCAGGTATTGCAGTGTCCACTCTCCAGACTTCTGTTGTTGTTGTTGTTGTTGTTTCCATAGTGCGGAGTAGTTCAGACCAAGTAGTTAGAAAGAAGGGAGAATATAGGGAGAAAGCCAGTCTCTTCAGGGGTATCTGTTTGTTGCTTCCAAAACATCTTATTATATTGCCCTATTAAATTGCCTCCAGGAATGCTGAATATCAATACAATCGGAACCTTAGTGTTGGGGCGGGAGGGAACACCTAGGCCACAAGGACAGAACGGAAATTAAGTGCTAGGACAGGATCATAGGAAGCCAGATTTGATTTGATTAAATTAAAGGGAAGAGGTAGGTATTTGCACCATCCTGAATTAACTCTGGATCCCTGAAGTCTGGTCTTCCTCTTGGGGTGAGTTACGTGATCTTTAAACATTGACCAGTGTTGCAAGCTCAGTTTCAAATCCTTCTGCAGTAGTCAATTTCATAATGCTGACAGAAAGCTCTCTGGCTTCTTTATCTTGCTTTTCAGAAAAGGAATGTACCTTCCCCAGGAATTCTGAGCAAGAAACAGATTGCACTGGGTGGTACAAAGAACCTGTAATTGATTCCCTGAAGGTACCATCCTAAAAGTAGTCAGGGGTAAGTCCTGAATTTTGTGGGAAAATAGCATCAGTAGGATGGGTTGTGTGCCTCTAAGGGAAGTAGTTGATTACAATTGCATGGATTATAATACCTAAGTAGGTCTGTCTAGGGCATCTTCAGGAGGCGGTCAAAGAGTCAAAATGGTGGCCATGACTTTGGGGATCTTTGCGAGTTCTTTTCTTTTTCCTGGTCCCTTCCCCAAAGTAGCCTCCTTGGCCCTCAAAGGAGATGTTCCTTCCCAGCAGCTGTCAAAGACAAGCTGTGTCCCTCCACCCATCACATGATGGAAACTAGTTGCACCAGAAAATTGAAAACATATTTTCCTAAGAGCACATTGAAGTCATTATTGCAACAAAGAACTATTGGAGCAGGAAACAAAACTAAACAGGTCTAGACAGAGAAAATAGCTTCAGACTGACAGGCCGGCAAATATATTGTGTGACTTGAGAGTATTTTGGATCTTGATCTTTTTCTCATGTGCTATCTTGTCTTTGCAAGGAAAGCCTGAAGAAACTGGCCACAATGCACACTCAGCTCAGAGAGGGCAAGAGAGGAGGGTTGTTCTTACGCATGGGCATAACAGTTGCAATACAATAGGTTGTTCTACCCCCAACATAGAAATGTTCCTTGTTCTCCTTGAGACCCATTGCTGTTATTGTTATCGTATTTCCTCCGGTCTATAGATCTAGCAGAGGGTCCAACAGGACTATATGTTCAGAAGCTGATGTAAACATACATGCAGCTGTGCAGGTTTTATGCAATGCATAATGAATTGGAGTCTGGTGACATTAGTTACACCTAGATCCAGCTGAAAATCAAGTTCAGTTCAGTGTGAGAAAACAGCCTTTTGAAACAGTAATCAAAGAGTTTGGCCTTGATCACTGTCCTACAGAACATGGTTTATTCTGAACTATGCACACCCTACCACATTATGAGGAGCTAATGCCTAGGTAAGCAGAGAAGGACATGCTGCTGGCCTGGCAGCTAATATTTTATTAGATTTATATCCCGCCCTTATTTTTTGGTAATTCAAGGTGATATACATAATGTTTTCTGCTCCTAGTTTCCCCACAACAACCCTATGAGTTGGGCTGGGCTGCGAGAGATTAGCTGGCCCAAAGTCCCCCAGATGCCTTTCATGCCTACAGAAAGGCTGGAACTCACTGTATCCTGGTTTCTAGCCCAGCACCTTCACTACCACGACAAACTGACTATCTGTTGTCTCTACTGTACTGTCTGCATCCCCATTCCTCAAATATTTTACACCCCAAATGCTGATCTTTGAAGTGAGGAACTAAAATGTGGGTAGCTGATTATTGCAATGTAATCCCTACACAATTAAAGTGCTAAAGAACTGCCCAGCTACCCAAAGCATGGTTCTGTCACCAGAATAATGCTAGCTGGCTGCAAGTCTTCATTTGCTCATCACAATTTGTCCATCATCATCATCATCATCAATCATCATCATCGATCCTTTTTGCTCCTCCTGATAACGTTTCATACATTTTGGTTCAGAATTCCCAAAGGTAAGTAAGTAAACTCCTCCCTTTTTGGCTCTTGCAGTTTGATAACAGATATTGTTGTTGGTTCTGTTTCTCAAAGTGCCTACTTTGAGAGGATTATTAGAACGTTAATTTAAACTTTGGCATATAATTAGGGTACAGACTTGTCAGAAGCTTGGGATGGCAATGGTTCTAATGCTCCTTAACTACTGTATAATGTAACAATGCACAAATTGCTCAAGTCACATACCAGGAGATTGAACCAAACAGCTGGTTTATAGCTTCAGGTGGCCATGTTTGGAACCTCCTTTTGGGTACTTTCCTGTTACTGGTGATGTCCAGTCAATCACATGGAGCCCACAGGCACAGGATCAGTTGTTAATATATTTCTTGGGGACTGAGAGCAGGAATGAGAAAAACTTAGCAACTATGCTTTCCCTGCTGTTAAAAAAGCCAGAATTGCTGGATTAGTTGATTCTAGAGTAGGGTTAATTTGGTCACCCTGACTCTTCCCATACATATATGCTTCCCTTGCCTTAGCAGCAGTACAAATCAGAACAGGTTTCACTAAGCACGAGCATGTTTCCTAACATGAAGTCTGATTTTAATTTTCTGGTATGACCAAACCAGGACTGACTAACTGACTGACTTCCCTCACTTTCCATGTTCATTGTCTTTCACACCCTGAAATTAGATTCTGTGAAAGAACCCATTCTTTACCATTCTAGAAGATTCCTTCAACCCTAAATTCAGGAGTCTGGTGGCCCCTTTTCAGACTAACAAATATTATTAAAAGGTGTAAGATAGCTCACAAGAGTTTATGCCTTTTAATAAAATTAGTCTGAATTTTGGCTACCCTAGACTAACATGGCTCTCCTCATACAATGTCTATCTACCTTAGGTATTCTGGTCATCTGAGGAGATACTATTCTAACAAGGCTTATTGGCCAAGATCTGACAGTCAATGGCATTCCAGAGGGCAATATTGGGGAAACAAATGTAACTAAAAGCACCTACACTTTAGGAGACTCTTCCGATCTGTGGGTGTGGGTATCACTTCATATGGCACCATTGTGATTCCTGAAAGATTAAAGATATTTGAGTTATTTATTCAATGCATGTTTTTAAAATGTACTGATTTATTCATTCAATGTATATGTCCAACTGCTTGGCATATGATTCAGGGTGGTGTATACAACTGAAAGTAACAACCAACAAGGCATATCACAGAATAAACATAATGAGCCCCAGACAATTGAAACAATTGAAACAATTGAGACAGGCTCGTAAAACCTCCTAACGTGGTGACTGTGAGAAAAGCCAGGTTTTCAGAGCCTTTCAGAGAGCATACAGGGGCGGGGCCATCTGGATTTTGGAAGAAATGCTATTCCATACAGTAGGTGTGCCATGTGAGAAGACACATCTCCTGAGTCCCATCAGTTGACCCTACTTGAGTGACTGGACCCACCGTGGTCTCTGTTTGATACAAAGAACAAGAATGCCTTTAATGCCATCCATAGCCATGATCTTGAACCATTTTTACTCTTGACTAAGAGCTTTCACTTCAGCATATGACAGTACTTAGCTAACTTTGGTTGGTTCTGGAAACTAAGTAGGGTTAATACTTGGATAGGGGACCATCTGCTGGTAGATTGGAAGAAGGTGACAATGCCAAGAAACCTGCATGGATGAGGTGACCACAGTTCCAATCTTTTGGTCCAACAGGTGACAGCCTCTAGGCAACCTTGGCAATCTTGAAAGCTAAGCATGATCAGATCTGGTAAGTACTTTGATTGGAAACTGGCAGGGAATACCAAGGCTATAAATTAGACTGGGGGATAGAAACAAACAAACAAACCAGAAAGTGGCAATGGATAATCACTTATGTATTGTTGCTCCCCCCTCCCCACCATTCCTATGTCACATAGTCACTAGGTGCTGACCTCAGCTCAAGAGCCATCACCTTTTTAAAGTGTCTTCCTTCATGAGTTACTTATGACACGTCTGGAATGGACTGGCTGTGGCAACTCCAATTTTACACTCCTGTCCAGGCCATGACTGATGCAGCCTTACCCTGCTATTTTCAGTACCATGATCCCCCATCAACTGCAAAACACAGAGGAGAGTGAGGGCAGCCAGGCCCAAGAGGTCGTTCTACTGACAGAGCAAAGGCTGGGTTCCACCAAGGGTTGCTACGGCGGGTGGAACGGCTATCAGAACAGATGGCTGTTCATTATAGTGCTAAATTCCCAGGAGCCACTCCTGAAAAGTAGCCTACTAAGCAGGGGAAACATAATCACGTATCATTAGTTGGAAATTAAGATAAAGGGCTTTTTCTGCACTGTAGGCTTAAGCTCTTTCTCCCATGTGTAAACTGGCTGGAGATGAAGCTGACTTAAGAAATTCCCTTCTGGATATCAATCCCATCCTCCACTTTGGCCATGGTGATGGCCTGGACTAAGCATCCCTTGGCCCCCAGCTGATAGATTCCCTGCACCTTTACTTCTTCTGCCTGGGCCACTTAGGGAGGTCATCTGATGGCATGGAGTCAGGTACCACCATGGTACCTAATTGCTTATCTTGATCCCTGGCTGACTTAGTGAAGCCATGGAGGTGCTCTCCCAGTACTTGGAAGCTAACTAGATCTAGATGGGGAGGAATAGGCTCAAGCTCAACCCTAACAAGACTGAGTGGCTTTGGGTTCATGGATTGGCTGTGCTTGGGGATTTTCCATCTTTAATTCTTGATGGGGTTGCGTTCTCTAGACAGAACCTGTGTACAATTTGGGGGTCCTCATGGACTCTCAGCTTTGCTTGAAGAACAAGTGGTAGCCATGATCAGGCAGGCTTTTACGCAAACCCTGGTGCACCCCTTCCTGGACTGAGAGGCCCTGCTTGTGGTTACTAATGCCTTTGTCACCTTTTGTTTGGATTATTGTAATGTACTGTACATGGGGCTGCCCTTGAAGATCACTTAGAAGTTATTGCTGGTCCAAAGTGCAAGTCACTCAACCAGTTGGGAGTGCATCTCATGGAACACCTAAGCTATGCAAGATGCACTGTTACCAATGGGATTTTGGGTGCAAATCAAGATGCTTGGGGTCAACATTAAAGCCCTATATGGCTCAGGGCCCAGTTACCTATGGCACCACCTTTCTCCAAATGTCTCTACCTGTCCCATAAGATCTGACAGGGTGGGCAAGCTATGGGCCCTTTCAAATAAACAATGCCACCTTCTGGCATCCCAGAGTCATGTTTTCTTTGTCACTGCTTTTGCCCTCCCAGGATATCATTCCCCAGAGGTTTGTTTGGCCCCATCCCTGCTCTGCTTTACAAAGGCATTGAAATCCTGGCTTTTTTAATAGGCCATGGACCAAAGCGTTTTGTGAACCTGCTGAAAGATGGCTAAAATTGTTTTTTATGTATCTCCCCATAGCATTGTTTAGAGAGCCAGTTTGGTGTAGTTGTTAAGGCACCAGGCTAGAAACCAGGAGACTGTGAATTCCAGTCCCACCTTAGGCTCAAAGCCAGCTGGGTGACCTTGGGCCAGTCACTCTCTCTCAGCCCTAGGAAGCAAGTAATGGCAAGCCACTTCCAGAATCTTGCCAAGAAAACTGCAGGGATTAGTCCAGGTAGTTGCCAGAAGTCAGGACTGGCTTGAAGCCATAACATACACACAGAGCATTGTTTGTGCCTTTTACATTCTGATTGTTTTCACTGAGTTTTTAATGTAAGCCACCTTGAGTTTTCCAATCTGTCCAAATAAATAAATTAGCTTGTTTATTTAATCAGTTTATATGGCTGCCCAACTTGACCAGTGGCTCTGAGGGGCTAACGTAAGATTAAAAACACAGAACAAAATACCCAGTGAACATAGAGCCACAGAAGCACAATACAGCAGAACTGAGGCCAACGGCAGCATGTTCGCTTTCCAAGAACCACTTACCAGACAGCTTCATCCATTACCCTGGACCAGTGCCTGTGGTAAAAAACATTTTTTTTACAGTGAGATCATTACGGCATGTGTGACTGTGAGCAGGGCCTCCCTGTCCAGGAAAGGGTGGTGTCCAAGATGGAATTATGGGCGCCTGGCACTGCACTTCAAGAGATCCCTCAAATTGTACGGCAGTTCTTCTGGGGGAGTGCAATCCCATCCAAAACTGGAGATGGAAAACCTTCAGATCCAGGGAGCCCTAAAACCCACAGCCACTCAGTCTTGTTTGGGTTGAGCTGAACCCTGTTCTTTGTCGTCCATATGCTCACAGCCTTCAGACGCTGAATAAGGACACACGCACACACATTCATACACATTTACAAGGGGGTCACGTGCATACATTTATAAGGCAGAAGGAATCCGATTAGTTTCAATTTAGCAGTCCTAGGTAGTCAAGTAAGGAAGTTGAGCACTGCATAGGATTTTTGCCTGTGTTTATTTTTTATGTATTTTTCTCTGAACTTTTCTTTCTTGGGAGCTATTGTTAGAGTAAATACAGTAATTTAAACACAAGTGTTCAACGTGTAATGTCTCACATTCAAGTGTTTTCCTCCTGCTAGCATCATGTGGAAGGATTTCTGTTTTTAATTTGAGACAGAAGTGACTGAAAAGTGAGTTATGTGGTGAGAATAAATTCATTTGAATTTAGGAATATCACATGCAAGATCTTTCTGGCCTTCAGGTCAGTTTACTTACCTTTCTGAAGGATTTTACTGATGAAGCAGAGTCCAATCATTGAGATTTGGGATTTCAAGTCACTCAGTGTCTGTTTCATCCCCACAAAACTGGTGAGTTCCTCACATTTCAGCCCAATCAAAGCTTCCGGGCAACCAGACATGACCTTTATCTTTGGGAAGTCCTATGGTAACAAACAAGGTTGAGGAGAGATTACAGCTCAGCAAAATCTTTTCATAACAGAGAATTTGGATATTGGAGCATGGAAACTAGCCTTTTTTGTTTGCATTAAGACCCATCTACATAACACTATTTCCACTTTCCAACTCCCAGAGTCAGAAATATGCCAACTCTGCTTTCATAGTCTGTCAAACTCAAAGACTTTATTGGGCTATTTGGGAACTTCTATCTAGGGTGATTGGAAAAACAGTGAAATGGTATATCACTGGACTTTTTAAAAAAAAAGTACAGGAAAAGCAGGAAGCTCTTGGAAAGAGAAATAGTAATTAAAAACAGTTCCACCAGGTTTTGGACCAGCGACCTTCTATTTCGAAGGCAAAGATTATAACTCTTGTGCTATTAAAGGATTCATGGTAAAAGGTAGCTTTAAAAGGTATTAGAATTATAAATACTGAGTTACTTGAAGGGACATTGCTGGGGTTATCCTGCAACAAACTGAGGTGAACTATCTGAAAACTGACAGGAGGTGTGAGGTGATATACAGTAGTATGGAAAGTCTATACTGAAAGTCTATATTGAAAGTAGAGTAGAAAAGTATGCCCTGAAGTTACTTTAACAGTGTATGGGGAATTAACAGAGGGTACTGTCATCTATTTCACCCCTCCAGAAATAGTTGCCAGCCCATTCTGGTGATGGGTCAGTGAGGCAATGTAGATAAGTTCCTTGATGTTGCACAAAAGGTGGTCAAAGTCTTTTCTCAGGAATAATGGTTTTCAGTTACTGGAAGGCAGAGTCCAAAAGATCATTAGAAAAAACCTTCCTAACAGTATGAGTAGTTTAACGGTGGGACCAGTTACTTGAGGTGCTGGGCCTCCCTTCACTGGTTAAGTTCCAGTTGAGGGTAGACATCCATCTGTTGGGGATGCTTTAATTTGGATTATCAAATTGAGCAGGACGTTGGATTTAGTTATTTAAATGTCCCCAACCCCATAATTCAACTCTATACAATAACTCTATGATTCTGGACAAATGAAATATTAATTTTCATTCTAACTTAATTTGTTTAACCTACTCTGTTTACTTTTGGGACTCCTGATTCATGATATACTACTTAAAGATTTAGTACAATTATCAGACTTAAAAGAAAATTGCATATCTTTAACCATTGGTTTAGGATTTGTGTGTGTGTGTGTGTGTGTGTGTGTGTGTACCTTCAAGTCAGTTTTTTGACTCCTGGTGACTGCCTGGACTAGTCACTGCAGTTTTATTGGAATTTTTTTTTCCAGAAGTGGTTTGCCAATGCCTCCTTCCTAGGGCTGAGAGAGAGTGACTGGCCCAAGGTCACCCAGCTGGCTTATTGCCTGAGACAGGACTAAATCTCACACTCTCCCAGTTTCTACCCTGATGCTTAATCACTACACACAATTAATTGGCTTATTAAATGGCTTAGTACAGTGTATGAAATCAATCAATCATGATTCATTCAGTGAACCATGGTTAATCAAATTGTAGCTGATCATGATATGTGATCTCAGTTACAATATGGAAAGTGAACTTTACCAGCAGGAATTGATGGTCGCTTGGATCACCCAACAGATTTGTCAGCCACAGGTTCTGCTTTTGGAGATCTGCAAGTTGCTCTTGCCTATGCTGAATAGAATTCCCCATTCCAAGTAAGGCTGACCTTTCCTCTTGATCAATGAAGTCCATCACCTTGGTCTGCAGTTGCCTGAGTTCTTTTAATACCTCAGCAAAGGCCCAATTCACTTCATCTCTGGCATTCTTCACCACTTTCTGTAAAGAATGGAAAAAACAAAATACTGTATTGCATATTTTCATCTATTACCTACCTTGATTTAGGGCTCCTCCAGAAAGAACTGTAGGTCCATCAGTGAAATGAGATTATCTTCCCCATGTGCCTATGCCTCATCACCAGATGGTGGGATTACACCACATTCTAGCTTTCTCCTGTTGTGGTTTTTGGGAAAGTGATAACTTCCATTTGCCTAAACTGAAGCAAGGATCTGGCAGGATCATACACACCCAGTGGTGTAATAATGGAGGGAAGAAGGTTCAGCTTGCTCCACTGATAGATCTCTAGCCCATCTGGAACAGCCCTTAATAAGGGACCGTTTTCTCTCAGTGGTGGAAAACACATGGTTTGCATGAAGAAGGTCCCAGGTTCAGGCCCTGCCATTTCCAGGGTTATTTGTTGGGGAAGCTGCATCCTGGGATCTTAAAAAAAAAAAAAAAGTTGCTGCCAGCCAGGGTTGACAATGTCAAGTTTAATGGATCAAAGTTCTGATTCAGTATAAAACAGCTTTCACAGTACATGCATCTGAAATTCTCAGAGTAGTTGCAAAATGCAGATGTATATTTGTATTGCTTAAAAAAGTCAGATAAGTGTCGAAGCAGGTGCACTTACATGTTAAAACTCTAATTCTCCCTCTGCTACTGTCCATGCTGTCTGGCATAGTTGTGGGTTGAGGACCAAAATATCTGGGGAACACCAATTTACCTTCCACAGAGTAACAGGTAGAGCAAGGTAGAGCATATTCAGCCCTGGCTTTTAGCCTCAAGATCACTAGCTAAAGTCTTGTCTACAGGATCCAAAGGCACCTGTGAAGCTAGTGACGTCAGAATCCATAAGGAGACACCACCACAGGGAAAAAGACAATACTGAATGGCAACAAGGACCATAGTATTTGACAGACTGCATTATTTTTATGTAAGTAGTTAGGTGAGTGAGAGCCAGGACTGAATGGTTTTATGGAGATCCTTTTTAAACAACCATGTGCATGGCTTCAGGGTGAAAATCCACTACAGTGTTAATATTCTTTCTCCCCTCCCCAATCCTACCTCTTGCCATTCCATGTTTCTATATTCCCTGATACAGGGAAAAAAGACTTTGTCAAAAGAAAGTTTGCCAGTTGGAATGCCAATGCCTTTGTTTGGAAATAACACCATTGCCTTCTTAAAAAGTTGCTAGACTTAAATTATCATCGTGTCATACTTTCCATGGTTAGCCCATCTGTTGATACTAGGCCTGTGAAAAAATGTTGTGGTCAGCAGCAGCCATCCTAGTGGCTGGACATGCACTCTGGCCTAGAGGCTAATTCTGACCTTATCTGCCACTACCTCCTCATCTGCTGCCCTTGGAGAGGTTGCTTGCCCCACCCTCCGAGTTCCTTCGCCCACTTTTCTTCTCTTGAAGCTGTTTCTCACCGTGAGGTAATGCACTCTTCCTCTGTGTTTCTGACTGTCTTCTGCCAACATCAAGACCTGGTTTTCCACATTAGCATGTATCCTCTGGACTTCCACCTGGGAAAGAAAGTCCCCCATTGGGGGGAGATGGGCGGGGACAAGTTTAATAAATAAATAATAATAATAAAATAAAATAAAAGAAACACCCCTCTGTCAAAATTGACACAGAACACTTGCACAGCCATAAGAGATATGCAGAATCTGTTTCCCTAGTGTGTCGGCTTTACTATGCAAAGGCCTCCTTTCCTATAGAAATTCATGCCCAAAGCAGAGATGCCTGTGGAAGGGCGCTGAGCTGCTCCCTCATATGTTAAAGTATCAGTTGAGTTGCATACTTGAAAATATCTTTTTGCCAAGCAGCCATAAAGCTTCTGGAAGGTCTCAATGTAAGTTTCTATTGCAAAAACAAAACAAAACAAAACCCATATTGCATTACCATGCACCCCAGCCTGGTGTCTGTGAGCCCAGTGTGGTTGCAAAAACTTTCCTTAGCACCCCCCAACTCTCCTTTTTCATCTTTGTCTTCTTTAAAAAATAATTTAAACAAAATACATGTTTTAAAAAGCTGGTTGCAAAGCATAGCACCAGTCTTCCGAATCATTTTTACTTCCAAGAATGCCTGTGGGTTCCGCAGAGCCCAATAGGTATTTTTTACCAATGTGCCCATATGCCCACCCAAAAGAGCAAGCTGGTTCAGGGGCTGCTAGTGGTACCCTAGGGGGTAAGAGAGGGTGGCAGAGAACAACCTCATCTGGTTGTCTTCTGGTAAATGTGAGTTCGGGACCCCTCTTGCAGAAGCAGCCATTTTGCCTTTAGTGGCAGCCAATTTCTTTCAGAGTCCATGGCATGTTCTCAAAGTGGCAAATCTTCCTGAAAAATTGCATTAGATCAATTGTCCCTGCTGTCAAAGTCCATACTTCCAATCTCATCTTTTCAGAGCTTCTGTGTATATTTTGCTTTTGTGTTGCAGATCAAATGAGCTTTCATAAGTGTGGGAATATGTCTTCTTTATTGTTAATCAGTGGGGGCTTCCTTATTTCAAACTACCATGATATTTTGTTTTACCTGGCCTGGGATCCTGCAAATAGGTTTCCATATCAGGAAGTTGTAGTCTTCCTGATATGGAAGATCTGAATAGAGCTGTAGGGCACCAGGCTAGCAAAGACTGTTTTTCATACATATTAAGGACATTAAGGTTAGGAAAGAATAAGAACTTCACTAGCAGCTCTGCAAACCCAGCCCTTGCTTTAGCACTAGAAAAAACTGAGGGAATAGTTTTTGTCTTGGGGTTTTGTTTTTTTCCCCCCCTCCTTTGGGTTTTGGGTACAGAAAACAGCAGGATGAGGCTGTATAAATCATGGCCCAAGGATGGAAGAAAAATGGCCAGTGCCATAGAGAGAACCCATTGCAGTGATTGTGGCACTCCCCAATATGGCTGAACAACACATGAGGGGAGCTGGTAGTGAAAATATGGCACAACCAGAAACACTAAAATACAATCCACAAAGTGTGGGAGGAATCTTGGCATATGAATGAAACTTACCGAGCAAGCAGAAAAGAGCAGAAATAGTGAGCATGAAAGGGAAACAAGGAAAGCAGTGTGTAAATTAGGGTGAACAACACATGAGGGGAGCTGGTAGTGAAAATATGGCACAACCAGAAACACTAAAATACAATCCACAAAGTGTGGGAGGAATCTTGGCATATGAATGAAACTTACCGAGCAAGCAGAAAAGAGCAGAAATAGTGAGCATGAAAGGGAAACAAGGAAAGCAGTGTGTAAATTAGGGTTTTAATCCTGGACAACAAACGGCTGAATGAAATCTATCTTACAACCCCCAGTCCATATCAACCGAGAAGTTTAACATGGGTGAAAAACTTTCTACTCATGGTGGGCTACTTTTATAGGCTAACAGATGAGGTTTCAGCCTGACTCACTTCTACTACTCAAAGCTGCCTTCCATGAAAACAAGGGCAAACAGGGTATACACCCACACCCAAACACTCACACACATATATGAACATTGCTTACTTCTTTCTTGTTTCTTTCTTTCTTCAGAGAGATGACTTCATGGTTCTTATGCTCTTCCTGGACACAGATTGCGCAAATAAATTTGCTTTCCACTTTGCAGAACAGCTCTAGCAGCTTACGATGTTTTAAGCACATGCTGCCTTTCAAATCACTGAGAGGTTTCATCAACTGATGGTTCTTGAAGGTCTTGTCTTTGTAGTGAGACTGGATGTGGTTGTCACACAGGGAAGCTATACATTGCAAGCAAGACTTGACTGCTTTTCGCTTCGGTGGGGAACAGAAATCACACGGGGCATTATTGGAACTAGCCAGCTTCTGTGGACCTTGAGACTCCTCCCGGACAAATCTCATAGCAATTTCTCCCAGGCTTGTATTTTTGCGGAGCTGAGGTCTTGAACTGAAGGGCTCCCGGCACTGAGGGCAGTAAGGGTGTTCCCCAATCAGAGCTTGGTGATCCCAGTACACCTGCAAGCAATTCATACAGAAGTTGTGCCCACAGGCTGTGGTGACTGGGTCTCTGAATACCTCAAGGCATATTGGACACACAATATTGTCTTCAAGGAAAAGAAAGCCAATCTTCTGCATTGACACAGGACACTTTATTCTTGGCTTGGACTCAGCTTATGTATAAAGGCTCACACACAACTTTCAGATATGTCCAAGTCAGTCACCTATTAAAAAAGGAATCTGTAAAACAGGGACTTTTGGCCTTCAAAGGGAACATTGGTTACCAAGCTGAGGCTCACAAATTTATATTTATGCATTCAGATGCCCCTCAAACCCATTCTCACTTGGTGTGTGTGTGTGTGCGTGCACTAGTCCCTGCAGTTTTCCTGGCAAGATTTTCAGAAGTAGTTTGCCCTTGCCTTCTTCCTAGGGCTGAGAGAAATTGACTGGCCCCAAATCCCCATCTGGCTTCATGCCTAAATCAGGACTGGAACTCACCATCTCCCAGCTTCTGGCTTGGTGCCGTAACTACACCACCAAACTGGCTCTCCAGTCTTACATCTGTCATACATAATCATTACTTCTACCGCTCCAATGGTCATGAGTAGGTTTGCTGAGAGGGAAGCTATGAATCTTCCAACCAACCCTCTGGTGCAGGTAGCTGGCCGCTTATTGAGGTAACCAGCAATCTTGGACAGGGCTACCAGAAATGTCTGAGCTTCTTTCCTTTGATTTTGGTTACCTCTATAGACCATATTTTATGGCTAAGAGCTTCATGTAGCCTTTGGGTCTTAGACAGCCCATCCCTGCTACCGAAAATAGAATCAACACAATCTGAAGAATTGATAAAATGTAATTTAAAGCCATACAACAAAAATAAAGACATTTTCTAAAACAAATTCATATCACAATAGGCTTTATTTGCTAGTCACCTATCAATGATATTTTTTTGTGCAAAATTCATGGTTCAATCTGCAATCCACTATTTACTCAGAAGTAAATCTCGCCGTAGCCAATACACCATAATAAATGTGCATCAGGTTGCACTAACAGTAGCAGGATGCAGACTAGGCTTCTTGACCTAGGTCAACTGATCATGGATCTGGACTGCTGAATCCTTAAAACACTTAGATAAGTAACTCCACTTATTTTTGAAACTTGGGTTAAAAATAAGGATTTAAAGCCATGCTTTTTATGTCAACCTGTTAGGTTTAGCTGCCCATCCCCAGCATTATCAATCACCTTAAATATAAGTAATAAATACTTATCTGCCGATGAGCATCTTTAATAGATGAAATAAATATATTCTAACAAAGGGAAGCTATAGGTTTTTCTTCTTTTTCGCTATGTGAACTTGGCTGTGGTCACCCCAATTGCTCAGAGCACTTTTGTGCTATTCCTTCCCACAGTGGCAACTTTAGCAATAGCAGCACAATCCCATTTATACAGAGGTTAGCTCTTATCCTCCCTGTGTGTTGCCAGTTTAAAGTTTAAAAAATGATGTATTTCAGCAATATGGGAACGCTCAGTCTTCTAACAATCCACACTCCTTTGACATTAAAACCCAGCCACAAAATGGCATTGTCTATTTGAACAGCCAGTGCAATAAATGAATCAATGGAAGATTTCTTCATTGCGTTTATTTTTCTTTAAATAATTTATATGACTGCCCATCTCACAACAGTGGCTCTAGGCAATGTACAAAGATTAAAAACCCAATAATTAAAAACAATAAGCCATGACGCCAAAGGTAAAGGATACCTTCCAATCATTGCTTAACCTCCTGGCCCTTGGGAAACAGCTGGGCCTTCAGGGCCTTACAAAAAGCTAACAGGGTCTAACAGGCTAACAGAGGCCAAAAAATGCCCGCGCTGCTGCATTCTGGGCCAGCTGCAACTTCCAAATGCTCTTCAAGAGCAGCTCCACATCGAGCAGTAATCCAAATGGGAGTTTGACTAAGAAGACAGGAGTCACTGTGAGCAATGCCTCATCCAGAAACTGGCAAAATTGGGGCACAAGCCAAACCTCTGAAAAGGCCACCAGTTGGCACTGTGTCAACTTCTTTGCTGCCCTTGCCATGAGGTACTATCTCAGAAAGGCTCTTACCTGTGGTCGGTTGGTTCTACTCTTCATTTTCCCCAGTGGCATTCTAGGTGTCTGTTATGCTGCTTCATCACCAGGAGCTCCTCTGAAAACCATGGGGCTCTCCGGGATCCACATGCATAGAGGCTACATAGGTGCAATCCGACCCAAGGCAAAGGTTACCCTCTCATTTCAAGCAGCACCCGAGGCCTCAGACGAACCATGTACCAGAACCCCAGGCTCCCTTGGAATCCAATAATAGGGTCCATTAGATGCCTGGGGCAGACCATTCAAATAGGTCCTGCCTCCCTACAGGGAAGTGCAGCACCGGAGACCTCCAAAGCCAACAGGGAGTGATCCATCCATGGCAAGTGATTGATGGTAACATTCCCCAGCTCTAGATCATGTTTCCACTGCCTCTGTTGTTACCAACTGAATGCAAAACCTTGCTCAAGAGTGCAAGGCCAGAATTTATTTTATATATCTGGGTGATATTACAGTTTTCTGATCATGCGTGCTACCATGGAGCTATGGCCTTCCCTAGTATGAAGGTATATTTTCTTACAACTAACAAGGCTCATTTCAGACTTCTGCCTTCCGCATGTCTCCTTGTGAGAAGAAAACAAGCTCAGAGTAGTTATTTTTATTTTATTTTATTTATTTAGGAATTGTTATGAGCAGAAACTAGAACATTCAAGATAATTACTTAAATTATTTGGAAAAAAAGAATACTGTAGGGAGGGAGCTCATTGAGATCAATAAATTCCTTAAATCCCTGCAAGTTGTGATACTACACTTCTGCAGACTCTTATTTGCACTTACCTGTTAAAAGTCAAATTCAGTTGTTGCACTTGATAAATTAGCAACCACAGTAATAGGTATTCCACTATAGTTCCAGTAATTAGAGGTTTTCAGCTGTGGTCTTGTTGCCCCAAAGAGCAACTCCCCTTGACTTTCTACCAGCTTATAGCCAATCATGGGATCTGAATTGGCTAGGTGACATCACAGTTCAAACTACAGAGGGAATAAAGCACTTTGGTTATGATGTCACTGGTGGACTCATCTAAATAAAAATATTAAGGACCTATCTGCTGTGCCCTTTCAAGATTATAGGCATCCCAGATAAAAGGAAGCATGAGCATGCATGCACACAAACATCTTGTTGCACTGGTCTCAAAAACACAGAAAGAAATTAGCTGTGGTTTCTTTCATTCACTTTTTGATGGAAGAACCCATTTTGTATGGGTTTACCATTCTGTCTTAGGAAGTTACTTATATTGTATCTCCGGTACTATGGTGGCTTGCCCTGTTTACCAGCCTGCTTGGCCACATTACATATCGGTCTATTGTTTGTAGGATCAGAATCACTGCCACCACAGGTGGCTGTTCTGAAACAGAATCCCTTATCCCACAATACTCCTAACAGCAATTTTATTATGTTAGCAAGGAGTAAACTAAAGTCATCATATATACTTACCTGAACTTCTGGGATCTCTTTATAAAAACTATTTTCCAAAAACTACATACACTCATGCACACACACACACAGACATACATGCACTGTATGCATGCCACAGAATACACTCATGTTTTTAAATTTAAGACACCACTTACAAGCAACACTATTGGGAAACCTATAGTAATGATTACCAGATATGATATAATGGTTTCATTCTCCTTTTCAGTGAAAAGAAGCGGTAAGTCTTCACTAAAAAAAAATGATATATAAAAATACTTTTACTTTGATGACAAGGATTTTAAAAACAAGGACAGAAAATTGGTACATCCAGAGAAATTCTATATAAAAGACCCCTCAACCTTTAATACCAGCAAAGCACCAAGATACAATATAAAATTTAAAAAAAACCCCAATGCTCAAGTCATGTCAGAATCTTTATTGGAAAAAAAAATCACAGCATCTCCATTATTATTCAAACACATTTAATAAACAAAGAGAAACAGTAGCAAAGGGCACCGACATGTGACAAACTGTACAAAACCTCTAGGCTTGCAAGCAAAACCTGAGGGTGAGGAGCCCACGGCCCAGCTGTGGAGGTCCGAGGAGCCATCCCCACCCCTTTATAGATAACCCCCTCCCCCTCGGACCATTCAGTCACCCCTGAGAAAAATTGATTAAAAATGTGCAGAAACAAAGACACTTTTAAGAGAAGGTTAGCTCCAACCTTGCTGTAACGGAACAACTGGGCCACTGGGTTTCTGAACCAGTTACTGGTCCCCAGGGGCTAGCTAATGGTTTAAAAAAACCTCAAGAGATGCACATCACTCAGATGAAAAGCCATCCTGCCATTGGCTTCCTTTGCCATTTACTGCCTTTCATGGGGAAATAGCATCTGTATTTATTTTCCAGCTTTAGCTTAGTCTCAAATGCATAAAGGCAAACGGAAGAGCCCTGTTGCTAAGAAGGCAAAGTTACAACTGGTGGAGAACACGAAAGCCAGTTCTTGAATTTAACAGGGCCTGAAGGTGGCCTCTCATCATGAGAAAAGAACATCCCAGGTGGGTGAGCTAGAATAGTGTCTTGCTGTAGCTGGAATTCAAGCCCTTATATTAAGAAAGCTGAGAGCTTTCCCAATCCCTAATACTGTTTCTGTTTCCAACTAAACTGCTCATCACTTCAGGGAGGGTCCCCCAAACCATAATGACTAGAACTGGAAATATTTAACAACGGAAAGAAAAGAGAAGGCAATCATGTTCCAACGAAAAACTAGATTTACTGAAAACCTCTCACTACTTGTCAGCAGCAAATGGAATATAGACAACAGGGTGGCCCCATTTATTTAGCACAAACACTGTTTTTCTCTGCACTTAGCTCAAATCTTGCTGTAACAGAGCAGCCTCATCTCAAATCTGATTTTATTCCACATTTAAATGGAGCTATTTTCAATGGCACTACATATACAACAAAATGAGATAATTTTTACCAGTTCATTACCTTGACATCAGGCACTCTTCTAATGTGGCTTCCCCATGCATGGTGTTTCTGGTGATCATAACATAAATCAATGAGGTATTTGTTTTAGTTTACTAAAGCTACACAGTTAAGATCTCCTTCCAAGCAAACCTAACACTGCTACGTGCCCAGCAAGGTGGGGAATGAGTTGGGTTAGGCCAAGTTGGAAATGGCAGCTATTCTTGACAGCGTCCTCTGATTTTTCTTTCAACTAGTTCATGCCACCACAATCTCCCTTCCCTGAAAGGAGAGATTATGAGGATATGTGTGAATGCTATACATCTGTGGTTCTTATACTTCCTCACAATACACGCACGCACACACACACACACACACACACCTGGTTATTTCTCAGCTGTGGACACACACTGACAATGGCTGAAAGAACAAGATACTCATAGATTTATGTACACATCACAGTGTTAGTTAAATCCAGCCATGACATGCACTGTCTGACCATGCCAATACCAACACATTACAAACAGGAAGGGTGAAGAAGGACAAGAAAGTTGCTTGAATTCCACAAAGTATGGGGCCAGTTGAGTTTAGCAGCCAGGAGCTGACCTCAAGACCTTTGGTACAGTCTGTTGCTACAGGGACTGAATAATGCACATTATTCAAGCCCTAACCCATCAAAACTTCACTGGAGGTATGTTGGCAAAATGGTGGGGAAGCTCAGTGATGTATGTAAACAAACACTGAAGAGTAATGGAGGATGTGGGGCAGGATAATTTGGTACCCTGTTAAATTTCATTTAAAAACTTTTTTGCTTCATCTGCATTATATCTTCCATGCTTTCAGTAACCACTCACTGTCCTCTTTGTTCCCACTCCTTTTGTGACAAGGAAGAAATAAAATGGGAAGCCTCATTACCACACACCATAAAACATGAAAAAGACACTGAGTGCAACTCCTTGCTGAGAAATTCCAAGCAAACCAACTGGAATATAAGGGATCCTACTCCGATCACAGACTAATATGGGAGCTTCAATTATTGCCTAGGGGAAACCAAAGCACTGCAGTTTCTTTGATACTTTGGTTCATTATGTTCAGGGCTTAATTCGAAGGCCCAGAAGCCAAAGATGACTAAAAAGAAACAAAGCCAGAATGTAGAGCAAATACTTCAGGAATTCCATTCACCAACAACTAAAAGGGACATTTCACTGATTAGGGATGGCACAAATTCATTGACAAAATCAGCAAGTCCCATTTGTTTAAGATTAGAATTCAGAGAGGCACAACATTGTTACTTCCATTCAAGGCATTCCGACAGAAAAAAAAATACAGAAGTTCACGAATCACTTTGGACAAGAAACATCACAATAGATTGGCAACTATCAGCAGTTTACACCTCCCTTCCCCACCCCCCTCCCCAACCTGTGCAATGCCCCTTAGTCATTTTGGGTAAGAGGACACAAGGAGAGGTGAGAAACCTCAAGCACAGAATCATAATGTGTAAATAAAAGACTCTCTATCCCTGGATGAATTGGATAAGAGTTGGTAACGCCTACCAAAATAATTAGAGTACAAATGAAAACCTGCTTTAATGCAGGACAGCAAGAGAACAAGGGAATAATTTCATGCTGTTGAAGACAAGGCAAAGCTGAACTTGGCAGGAACAAATCTTCCATATCAAAGAACTATTTGAAATAACCCAAAGGACACATTCTAGCTTTGGTGGGAGAAATGGGGCATAAGCTTCTTTCTTTCCCTCTCTTTTCACAGAGAATAAGAAACAATACAACAGAATCTAAAAATCACAGGTAATTGGACACTTTAAAAGCATGAAGAATGCTGACAAAACTATACTGCAAGAAATGCCTAGAGTTAGATTTGTAGTGTTATAAGGAAAAAAAAAAACCCTTCAGCTAATGCCACACGGTGTGCATGATTTCCTCGCTCAACTTTCTTATTTAACAGTTCTGAACCAGTAACATATTTAAAAAAAAAGGGTTGGTGAGGGAAGAATGGAGGAAGAATATTTAATTATTCACTTCTAAATTCATTTTCACTGGATCTGAATGACTCTAACTAGGACAAATTTCCTAACTAAAGCATCAGAAATAGCAGTGTTGAACCAAAGGTCTGCTGTTTATCCAGGCCTGTGATGCTAAGATGACCTAGAGCACAGAAGGCTTCAAACAGATATCTCCCGCCCCCCCCCCCAAACAAAATGTCAATGCCAAGACAGCAGGGAAAAAAAAGAGCAGAGCAAAGGTGCTATCCAGCTGGAAGATTCTCTTCTTTTCTCTTAGCTTTCTGTGTCTGGGATGGGATGAGCCTTTGGTTTTTACCAGGATTTAATTCTCCACTGGCAGGACAGGCTCAGCTTTGCTTTGTGTTAGTTTTATTACTGTACAAAAGCAAGGTTGGACTGCAGGAGAAATACTTTGCCCAGCTAAATTGCCCTTTTAACATCTGGGAGTTTTAAAGTTAAATGCTCGGATTACATCCGTGATCCTCGTTCCTGAAGAATCTGAAAAAAAGAGAAACACTTCTTTAACATCACCTTAAAAGCATTTCTTGGAACAATGAAAAAGAGAGCTAGAAAACATGCTACCTCTCTCAAGATTTGAAGCACAAGCAAGTTTGTATGAGAACCTATAGTATTTCCAATATCCTGATTCCAAGTCATAAAGGGCTTTCTTTGTATTTTATAACTAGCATATTGTGAACAGAAACGCCAAAAATTAAACAGAGTGCATCACAGTACTCCAATCAGGATATAGCTAAATTATGTTATTACAGCTTGATACTGGTATTTTAACCGTACAAACACATCAGTCCACTGTCAAATTTGGGCATCCAGAAGTATACCTGAATTTTGAATGCAAGCCTTCATGGGGAGCATACCCTATAAAGCATAAGTTGAATCTCTAGACCTTGGTTTGCTTTTCCAATGACCAGGAATACCTTTGTCTTGTCTGAATGAAACTTCATTTTGTTTGCCCTCAAGTAGTTTAACAATGACATCTGACACCAATTTAGAATCATGGATGTTACCAGAAAAAACAACCTCTCTCAGCAATTTTCAACTGTATAGTAAATAGTATAAGGAAAGATGGAACCCAGAGGCATGAAACAGGCATGGCAGTGAATAGGAGTTCCCCAGTGCCAGCTTCTAAAACTGCTCCTCTGAGAATAAGCAAAGCCACTATAAACGAGTGCCTCCAAGTTCCATCCTAAGCAGGCAACTCAGAAAGATAACATACTGGCTGGTATTTCAAGTTTTGATGTTATAAATTAAAATGAGTTATATGCCAAGAGGGACTACTGATGTAGCTATTATACTGGAACCCTGTATGGCGTGAGCAAATTTGTATACAGGTATTCCTCATTTAGCAATTGCCTCAGATAGTGACCATTCACAAATACAATGGTAATAAACGGTAATAAAAAAATAATGTTTGGTCCAATATGCACATTTAGGACAACAAAAGCCTTCAGTGTGAAACTGATTAAGGTCTGATTAGTTTCAGGCAGCAGCTGCCAGCAGGGGCAGGGTTCTAATCAACTAATTTAAGGTCACAGAGCTGAGCTTGTTAACTTGCCTTTAGCATTTTTTAGGGAAGCGCTGGGCTGAAGAGATAGCTTGTTGAAGCAATCTCTCCACCCTGCGAGGGGGAAAAAGGGTGGGGGGAAGGGTCAGGCACAGGATACTGTATGAGAGAACTTTATCTGAATTAGATGGTAGCAACCAGTGATCTTTGTAGTGTCACTTTGTCTCTCAGTCACATGGTTCACTTAGTGTCGCTTAGTGTCCATTTCACCAGAATCAATTGCAATCACTAAATGAGGACTACCTGTCCCAGGTATCATTTTTATCCATTATTCTATCAAAATTACTTCTAAGTTTCAAGTGAGATTACATGTTTATCCACAATGATTATAGCAAAATATTGTCATAAAAGTTATCAGGATTATACCTCTATGCAACAACAATACTGACAGTAGCGAAGGAAGATATGCTGTTCTCAAAATTCAAAAGAGCACCACTGCCAGAGAACATATCAATCTCACTGAATCTAAGACTGTAATTTAATATACACACTTATTTCAGAGTAAGCCATACTAAACTGAGTAGGATTAACTTCTGAATTCACATATGCAGAACCGCATATATAGAATTGCACTGCAAACATTTAAAACTCGGTCTAACTTTAACATTTCAGAGTACAGAAGTGAGATGAAATACAGTTCTGTTCATTAACAGAACATAAGGGTAACTCTGAAGTTTTTTTGTGTGTGTGTGTGTGTATTGGAAGTAAACCAAAATACTACAAAATATTGGCCATACCTACACCTGATTATTTCTTTTATTTTAATGATTTGTTACATTTCTACACTCTCTGTAAGAAGTGGAGATTTACAAACTGTCAAAATCCACTTGTTTGATTTTCGGTGAGGACTCATGATGAACAAGACATCTCCAAGGGAGCAGAGATGGCTCTGCAGCAAGATCTGCGGTGAGACGGGCTTTTTCTGGCTGGCCAAACCTCTCTGGATAAAGAAGAGATTGTGAGAATGGCCACTTGCTCCTCGTGAGTAAACTGCAGGAACTGAGATTTCTGCAGCTGGCTTGTGAGCTGAGCAGCTGGGAGCTGAGGGATGTCCACCAAGGTCACAACTACAATGTAGTGTTATGGACACAAGTTCTGCCCAGCCTCTTTTCTTAATCACTTTCGGAAGTTGCTTATTAATTGACAAGTTTGATACGATACACCAGATGAGTTCCCTTTAATCCTTGACAAAAGAAGTTTTTAAACATAAATTTAGGGACATTAAAAAATATATTGTTTTGGAATAAATGGCAAAACGGTGATTAGAATGTTGATTTTGGAAAGTTGTAAGTGGATTAGGGGTCCAAATTGATTTGAAATAAGATTTTGAAATTGACCGTGGGAATCATTCCTGTGGGAAAGTGCTGTTGTTTTGAATTCTTGAAAGAAAATATGATAGAATGGGAATTTGAATGTTGGACACTTGGAAGGAACCAGAGGGAATTAAATATTACAATTAAAGGAGAAGAGCACTTAAATTTGACTTACTAACACAGAATGGAGCAAAATATTTTACACTGGATGTATTCAAGGTTATTTGTGAGCAATGAATCCAGAAGTTAATCTTAAAAGTATCTGTCATTATAGACAGACAGCTTTTAAGAGATGTTGTGCAAGAGGAACATGTTCTGCTGGATGGGACTGGGACTGATTTGAAAGTTGATTTGAAAATGACAGGCTGCAACAGTGATATGGAAAAAGATATCACACTGGATATACAAATGAAATTGGCTGATGTTTTAATAACTGAAAGGGATGTGCAACTGGCAAACCAAAAGAGTGTCTTGGATAACTTTCTAACACTGGATCTACAAAAGAGATCTGTTAAGGTTCTGAAGGATTTTGTGAGAAGGGACAAAGAAAAAATGGAAAGAAAACAAGCTCTAGAACACTATCTGAAGGGATTAAAGATCAAGATTGTCAAAAGTAAAAAGGAAGGAATATAAAGTGGGTTTATTTAATCAAGGTTAAAATAGATATGTTGTTATTTCTGGCAACCCTTAATGGACTTTTGCTGATCCAAACTGAATGACAAGGTTGTAAAGAACTATTTATAGATATCAGATATACAATGAAGAGAAATGTTGTTGAATTTTAAGAGAAGATGATAAGTTGTTAAAACTACTTGTTGTGATGAAGGGGAAGACATTTCTTTATATATTTCTTTTCTTTCCCTCTGCTATATTTTTTTTCTTTCTTTTTTATTTTTTCTATCTATATTTTTTTCTTGCACTATTTTTTCTGTTTATTCTTTTAGTTTTTGTAGTTTGTATCAGTTTTTATCTGTTTAATAATAATATTTAATAAATTTATTATTAAAAAATCCACTTGTTATTTATATTTATGCCATTCAATAAACAGGAAGATTGAAGGGTTCCAATCACAACAGACTTCTCACCTTTGCTTTCTCACTAGGCTCTATGACAATGCCATTGGTAGAGTTATTGAGCTCTCTCGATACAACACAGAGAAATTCTGCCTGATCTTCATTTCCATAGTTGTACGAAGATCCAATACTAATTAACTGTTAAAAAGGAGAGAATGTAAATGTTAAAATAGCAATATGAGATGAACACTATAAGATCAGTCATATGAGTTCGTTCTAAAGTATTATTTAAACTTATGTTTGGTCTCCAACAACTGAGAGCTAGAGATTTGCAGAAGTTAAGTACCTTTTAACTTCCTTTCTTAATATTTGGAAGGAGAAAAAGCATGTTCATGTTAAGCCTTTGAACTCTAAAAATACTGTGATGTAAAGAAAGTATCATGTGACCTCTCTGCCACACCAAAATACTATCAAACAGATTTTCAGTTTTGTTATGCAGCTATATACAGGATGTACCAGAAGTCAGGCTCTATAAGCCAATTACAATATGTTTTATTAATTAATATTTTTTTCAGAGAAAATGTTACTGTATCTAGGAATGTTCAAAGGTCATACATCAAATGAGCAAGGGCATATTTAGAAGAAAATGGGAACCTATTTGAATACTGAATGTGATTTATAATGAACAGTTTATAATAAACAGGGGCTTGATTTTTGGTACCCTCTGTACATCTGCTGATTCTATTTGCAGAAACAGCACTGATCATTTCCATATTAATTACTCTCTCCTTCTTTCTACTATTATTTAAGGATTACGGTATCATTCTACAAAATCAGTACCATTTAAAATAAAGAAAACAATGAGGTGGCTAGGGGCTCCAGAAACATCTGGGTAAAATACCAAACCGTAGGACTATACCACGCTGGTTGGGTGAATAGCTGCTCATGTATGCTAGTGTTTACTGAGATCATGTGGCAGCTGTGGAGGGCTGCTTTAAGAAGTTCCTGACAGGTGCTAGATATGTCCTTAACTGTGCTTTGAATCATATTTTGCCCTTTGAATTCAGATCTTTGTGCAGCTCTAACAGGCAACCACAAAAACAGAAACCCAGCAGTTATATAAGATTGAAACAAAATCAAGATAATGTTTTAGATTGTAGGGAACAGAACTTTCAATAGAATCTGCATAATGTAAGACTGATGAAGAATGGTTTGACTATTTGTGTTAAACAGGAATCAACACACTTTTGTCTTCCCATAAAGTTTAAGTAGATAAAAGTGTAACTCAGAAGACATGAACCAAATGAACTGTTTCAGCATTCTGAATTCTGCCACTGTACCACAGGCTGGCTCTGCAACTGAAGTTATGCTGGTCTTCAATAAGATACAGAAGATAGGAACATCACTGAATGCATGGTGGCTGAGTTAAACATGGTATATCAGAGAGAGGAGAGAAAATCATTACTTGTCTTTTCCTAGGATGCTGCTCAGAGACAAGACCTACTGTCCTTAAATGCAACAGTGCGGGAGGCTACTATCTTGAAAGATCCATTTTCTTGAGCTATGAAACCCCCTAAGGGTAGTCACTATAATAGTTCTAATCTGAAAAAAAATTCTACCTCATTAAGGGGAAATTAAACCTAATAATCAGGCTGCACAAAACCAAGTGTCAACCCTATAAAAACAATTTAAAGATGGGGAACGTAAGCCAAAGTAGATTTTCTACAATACAGAATTGTCATAAGATGTACATAGTGCTGAATTCAAGTTTGCCACCAAGCTGATAGCACTGATCAACTGATAGGGAAAAAAGAAGAATGCAAAAGAAGATTAAAAATCAGGCTTCTGCAAAGATGATCAACAAGTACAGATATCAGTCTTCTTCACACTTCAGCATTTGTTAATGTGAAATACCTGTTCAAATTTCCATCCATCAGACATAGTAGACACCATCTGAGTGAGCTCTTCTTCTTGGCACTGCAGAACTCGGTAAACATGCTTGACAGGTCCCTGGGTAAAAAGAGGGAAACTGACAAGTTAGAAATCAGGATTGTGAGTTTTCTAAATAATGGTATCTTGTTGAAATGAAGGATAGTATTACTTTCATATTAAGATGGAACAGACTCATGAAAACAAACATTGTAAAAGTGTTTAAAAGGGTGCTTCTAGTCACCATGGTTGCTAAAAGGTAGAAAGGGAAAGTGGTATGTTTTTGAGAAAGACTTAGAAACCAATTATATCCTGAGAAGCAGGTTGATATAGCATGGCTCTTAAGCCACAGAGAGCACACAGGCATACCATATCAAATGATAACATATGTTAGGACATGATTAAAGCATATAGGACACAATAAATGTATTTTCTTTCTACTATGAATTACTTGAGAAGTTCTGCTTTCATTGTCTCGTATTCGCTCTTTCACCAGCCTCACTAGAGATGCAATGTTGTAAAATTCAGCTTCTTCCAGGACACCTAGGAATAAGGATGAAGAACACGGTTTCAGGATTTGTAAGAAGGAAAGATTGCCATACACCCATGTTAACTGGAAAATCTCTTGATCAGAAAACTTTCAGATCTGATCCTGCTGCATGTCTGGAATTGGGCAATATATGTAATTTATAATTTAATTCAGGGCATTCTGTATTTGAGGAGCTGGGTGCCACAATTCAGCTTCTTTATTTTCTGAAAAGCCATAGAGGACCCAGTGATGTTGTGATGTTAGTGGAATGGGTGCAGCTGAATCTTTTCAGTCTGTGCTTCGAAAATCTAAGAGAGGGGATAGAAACAGGAACCTTCTCAGAGGCAGATGCTCCCATTTCCATCCTTAAAAGCTACCAAAGACCTTGAAAAATATGCTTTTCAGACCTTTAGAGGTTTAAAGGATGGGGACAAGAAACATTCCAGAGGCAAAACTGCACTGTTGATTATTTGATTATCTTGGTGCCAAATTCTTTTTTTTAATTAGCTTTATTTATCTTAACAGGTTTTACAGCAAGAAATAGAAAAAAAAGCAAAAAACAGAAAGAGTAATGTATGAAAAAAAGAAAAAGAAAAACCAAACAGCCAACTTAACAACAAAACAAAAACAATTAGGGGAAAACTGTATATATTACATTTTCATCAAATGTCTAACCAGATTTTAAATTTACATTTTAAAATATTATGGTTCTCTAACCTTACAAAACATCATAAAATCTATGCAAAGAATAATGTATTGAGTCATTTTTTGATTAGTAGATAAAACTGCCTTTTTAAAAACAGAAGTTACATATCTCTTGAAGCCAATCCTTAATATCAAGAATATTACTGTTTTTCCAATTTCTCAAAATAATTCTTGCTGTCAAATTCTAAAAGCATAATCTCCAGATACTAAAGACTGCAAATATGTTGTTTGGCAGTCAAGTGACACTCATGAGCTGTGCACTTACTTTAACTTAATAACTAATCTGGAAATCAGCAGAGATTTATGATATCAAAATATTTTGTTAGGCACAAATCCAACAAAACTGAAGAAAAGAATTTACACCCCTTAGGAAGATAACCCGGAGATTCAAGAAAAGTTTCCTCCATTTGATGTTCTTTATGAAAAGAAGCTTGTTTTTGTAGGCTATGTTCCATTAGAAAGCAAAAGCTCATAGTCCCTAACAGAATGCTCTAGATGAAAGCACTATCACAGGATACCTCCCTGTATGGTCACAGATACGTGCCTGTGTGAACTAAGTTGATTCTGTACTATTCTTCCACAGATCAATTTGAGTAACATACATTTTCTAAGGATATTTTAAAGACACGCAGGTCATGAAATCAATGGGCTCAGGCAAGACCAACCTCTGTTAATAATAATACTGTAACATTAATACTAATAATGTATTAACTTGTACGCTGCCCAACTCTCAACAACTCTTGGTAGAGTTAAGGATCCCTAGCTTTCAAGAACAGAGATTTACACATTTGTCAAAGTTACGTTTTTCTTACCTTCTTCTGCCAATTCCTTGTTTATTATGAGTTTTCCATGCCGGAGGTAGTTCAGGATTGGACCAAAATATGTGGGATCCCTATCAATGAGATATGCTCCCGTTTCATCCTGTTAGAGACATAATTCTGTTATATTCTGCTGCTAAAGAAAGTTATTCCAATGGAGTTCAGACATTTAGACATGGGATCTACTGTCATGAATCTGAGAATTTGGTTCTCTGTGAAGGAGTCCAAATTCTTGCATCACTGGGTATCTTATTCTATATTTGCTTGTGTTAGATGATTCTGTGACACAATTAAAAAAGATAAACCATGGCTTATATACCATGGCAGCTATCTAATTAACTAACAAATTACATGTTTATTTACTTGGAATAATCTGTTCTTATTTTAATTACGTCATAGGCTTTTCACCAAAATTAAATTAATGCACAAGTAAAAATAAACATAATTGCACTATTATTACTGTATCCTTAGGAAATATTTTTATCACTTGAAATGTAATTCATCCTGTGCATCTAACAAATATGAGCCATAAATTACATCAGTACTTTTGGGTAGCCTAAAAAAACATTCTTCACAAAGATAAATGCAGAACATTTAATTTTTTTGATCTACTGTCTCAAACTTATTTTTAGAAAACTCACTAAAACTACAATCCTATACACACATACTTGGGCATATATCCAATTGAACTCAGTGGACCTACTTCTCTGTAGATATTCTAGCAGAGTTGTCAGAGCTAATCATCTTGGAGAGACTGATCCCAAGACTCTACTTATGAAAACCTGCTGTATCTGTAAGGGTTTGTACAGCCTATTTCTTGTGAAAACAGTTGATCTCAATGGGACTTACTGAGTAAACATGCAAGGATTGTATCACCCAGCAGAACTGTAAATAAGGACCACAAAATTTGATATCTCTCTGTAACTATTATAACTTTTACACTATCATCTAAAGCACTGCATTTAAAATTAAATTCTAAGGAACACAATTATGTAAGATCTTTTGCAGGACATTCAGAATCCTCTGTATTGACCTTATAAGTGATTATATGCTAAAAGCAACCACTCTAAATATACTTTATCTTGGCACACAGCTTTAAGCACTAGAGAAAGGAGTTGCTTTGTATACAGATATTGATTTTTTAAAAAAAACATTATTTTATAGACATGACACTGAAAGCCATATGAAAGAAAAAGTTAGGTCTTAAGTGCAATATATAATTTATCTATAGGGTCTGTTGGCAAAGCACTGAACGAGCTTTTTGACAGCTCTGGATAAAAGAATGGCAAGGCCTCTTATGGAAAAACTTACTGTTGGAAATGAGGCTGTGTTCCTCTTTCTACTGTTTAGGAGGACGGTTAAAATACTTTTTTGTCATCCATAACTTTCAATGATTTTATGCTATTTTTTCCATATGAATGGTTAAGATTAATTTTATGGTTTAGCAAATATTATGGTTATACTGACAACATAGAAAGAGTGCTTGCCACTACTGAAATGAGGTAAGATGGAGTGGGAAAAATGGAATGGGAGGTCACTAAATTGGTAATCAGAAGTCCATAGCATATATCATAGCAGGTCTGACCTCTCTAACCTCCATAGAATATCTGAATCTGCTTCTTTCTGATAGTATAACTTTAACGCTGAAAGGTAGGAAACAAGGTGTGCTAGGGCAAGGTAGCAAATTCATTTGAAGTATTGTTTGTAGGCCCTACCATCTTGATTTAAAAGGGAGAGAGAATTTGATTAAAACATTCTGAGATGGGAAAACAGCCTCTATTCCCTCCTCACTTCAACCCAGCCAGAAGAACAAACAAGAATTAGCAAGTGGAACCAACAGGGCTTTGGACAACTGTAAAGAACAACTGAAGCTCTCCTGTATAAGCATTAGGACTGAATTCTAATTCAATGCATTTACAGTTGTTGCTGTTGTTCAGTCGTGTCCGACTCTTCGTGACCACATGAACCATATTGCGCCAGGCCTTCCTGTCCTTCACTGCCTCGCTGAGTTTGCTCAGTTTCATGCTCATTGCTTCAGAGATGCTATCTAACCATTTACAGTACTGAAAGGCTAAAAAGGATGAAGTAAAAATTCCAGAATCTTGATTCAAAAAGATACAGAATATAATACATTATATATAAATGTTATAAATACATTACATTTATGTTTAACATTATATGTATATGTATATGTATAATGTATATGTATGCTTGTTTTCTTTAATAAACCATTTCCAATAGCCATTACACCCAGTTAAATGGACTAGAGATGTTTATTGACAATAGCTTCATTTGTTGAAGTGTTTGATTACAGACTAATATTCACATCTGAGATAGGGAAATAGACTAGTTGAGAGGATTATATACAAAAGCTATACAAAGACAGTGCTTGTGATATAGCTTTATGTGTTCAAGCTTTATCTAAGTTTTAAAGAACATGTTAAATATCATGGTTTACAGCCATAATGATTAAGCCAAGTCATTACAAACCATGTCATACCTTAAATGCTGTGAGAAGCAACCATGTTAACATATACTATAAATCAGTATTGCTTATTAATCATGGCTCAGCATCTTCTGTAAACATCATCAATACGGAAGAGAGCAGCACAGCAAGATCAAAGACTGACTATCTATCTATCTATCTATCTATCTATCTATCTATCTATCTATCTATCTAGTTTAATGCAAAGAGCCTATGCCCCATTTTTACATGCAGTCCATCCCTTTTCTTCTCCCCCCTCCACCGCTTTATCAAGAGACTTAAAGGCTCCATCTATGGCCATGGTGGAACTGGAGATCTACAAGGAGCTTGGCCTCCCTCTACAAATACTACTGTATTACTCCAGAAGAGCAGGAAGGGCCGCTAGGAGAGCGAAAGGAAGAGCGAGGGCTTAGGAGCGCCGGAGGAGCACGCCGGTCGTTCTGGGCGCACTGGCCTAAAGGCGGAGTGGGCGATTTAGCGCCCGGCCGCGGCGCCCGCTCACCTTGTCCGAGCCCAGTTCAGGCCCCTCTTGGCAGCAGAGGCGGCAGAGGAACGACTTGGGCTCGCGGCAGAGGGTCTGGCGCGTGCTCACGAAGTACGTGCCGCCCACGTTGAGCCGGACCCACTTGGAGCCCCCACCACTGCCGCTCCCCGCCACAGCTTTCTCGGGCGCCGGAGGCTCCGGGCTGCGCGCGGGGCAGGCGGGAGCCGCGGCTGGACGAGGGCGCGGCGGCCCCGGGACCGGGAGCGGGCTGGGCGTGCGTCCTCGGGGCGGCCCCTCCCCAGCCGCCAACTCCGCCATGCTCGGCTGCGGCTTCTTCCCTGGGGGGACCGGCGACCGTCCCTCTGTCAGTCAGCGGCCGCTTCAGCTCAGCGGCCGGGGCGGAACGGCTGGAGCTGCTCCCGTCGAGGGTCGACAGCCATCCCCCCAGTCCCCGCTGACAGGGAACGGCGGACTTCCGGGATGAAGAGTCTCTTCCGGGTCATCAACCGCCCCTCCGAGTCGGATGACAGCGCCTGACCCCGTTGCGTGGCCCCGGCTTCGTTCCAGGCGTCCCACCCCTAAAGGGAATCGGAACAAGTAAATCCGATCAGTAGAAATGGAAATAACATTCGAAAAGGTTCCAGAGACCCGCCGGAAGGAAATGCATAGGCAGCTGTGCCATAGACACCAACAATTTAGATCGGCAGTTCTTGGTTCGCACGTGGGCGTTCCTAGCTGTTAGTGGAACAAGCACTTTTTGAAGCCCAAAGTCCGTTCTTTTTTCGCGATATTTAGAAATTGCTCTGCCAATTTGCTTCACGGAGAAGGAAGAAAATCGTTTTAATACGATTTGTACCGTCCTCTAGAGAGGGAAATGGGAGGCTTACGTTATACCTGCTTTGCAATCGCGGGGGGGGGGGGGGGGGGGAGGGTATAGAGGTGGCTAAAAAGATGGATTGATTTTCCAGAAGCCTCCACAGAAGTTTGGGTTATTCTTCTCCCCCAATACTATTTGCAACCATTCCATATTATGATCTTAGTTCTAATGAAAAACGTTTAAAGAGCAACCGCTTACTCAGTCGTCATGGATGAAATGCAACAGCTCAGAGACCCGATTTTACAGCAGGACTAGAGGTTCTATTCCGGGCTGGCTGTTCGGTTCAGTAATGTCTAGAGATGATGGGCTGAGTAATGCAAACATAGAGTTCTGAGAAGGACAGGAATGGAAGGTATTTTAAGGGAACTCCTTGGGATGACAGGCTTACTCGCCAGTAGCACCTGGCAGATCACGAAACTTCAGTTCGCAGCAGAGTTCAATTGCTTCACCCCCGACAGCCCCAAGCCCGCGCGAAGGGAAGTATCGCCCGCCCCGCCCCTGGCTGCTCTCTTCGTTTGTCAGGCCCTGTTTGCCTCCGGAGCAGGGCGGTCGCCCTCTTACCTTTTCCTCTCTCTATGAGACGGCGAGGGCCGCCCTCTTTTCGGAGAGAGTCGTCCCGATTGGGCCCGTAGGTCGCTGTCAGGGTTTGGTTCCGGTTAGCGGGCGGCTGTGGTTCCGGTGGCTGAAGGTGAGGAGCCGGCGTCCTTTGGGAGGGTGGCTGGCCGGCCTTGCAGTAACTCTTGCTTGTTAGCTGGCTGTCCTCCTCTCCCTTTTGCCCGTAATGCTTCTCACTTCATTGTGACGTGGGTTGGGGTTCTCTGATGGAGCCCTCCGGGGACAGAGCTTTGCTCTCTGGTTTGGCTTCCCCTCAGATAGGAAAGTAGATGCTAAAATCGGGGTGGGGGGGGCGGTTTGCTGTTTTGTTTGGGATAATTATGAAAACAATGATGCTTGAGGTCTTTGGGCAACTGATCCTATCAGTAACAAAAGCTGTATTTATTTTTTTAAAAACGGAAGCAAAACTGCATGATTTTGAAACATCCCCAGCCTATTTTTATTTTCAAGTGAGACTGTAAGGTTTGTGTGTGTGCGCACCTTCGAGTCATTGTTGATTCCTGGTGACTACACGGACAAGCCCCTGCAGTTTTCTTGGCAAGATTTCGGAAATCGTTTGCCCTTGTCTGCTTCCTGGGGCTGAAAGAGAGTGACTGGCCCAAGGTCACCCAGTGGGCTTTGTGCCTAAGGTGAGATTAGAACTCACAATCTCCTGGTTCCTAGCTTGGTGCCTGAACAACTACACCAAACTTCAGGTTGACTCCTGAATAAATGTATAGTAGGTTGTAGTTCTTGATTTAACCCAGGTGAAAATTTCTGCTTTTTATAAATGTCCTTTGTCTGCTTCCTTCATGCCTCACCTGCTATGTTATTTTCTTGTTTACTTCCTTTTTAACTTACTCTGTCTCTTCCCATTTTCTAGGTGATAGCAATGGCTGGCCGCAGGGCTGCTCTGAAAGCAATAGATTGGGCAGCATTTGCTGAACGAGTGTCAGCTGATCAGAAACCTATGTTTAATGCTTTGAAATCACGTAGTGATGGTATTGCAGCCAAGTGAGTATATTTCTTAGTTTATAAAGGGCACCTTATAATCTCCTTATATTTAGGCAGAAATGTTCGTATGATTTTGCTATTCTAGAGTTAAATAGCTAAATAACAGTGAGACTATGTTGGTTGCCTCTCAGTAATTTTTAGTTAATATGATTACACCGGGCATGGGAATCTTTGGCCCAGGCAGCAATCCTGTCCATCCCACAGATCTTTAAGCATAACATTCCTTGCTCAAGGCCCACCTGAGCTTGTTCTGTTTACCTTCACCTCGCTTTCTAATTCATCCATGCCATCAGAAGGGAACGATGGGGTGTAGCCTGTAGTGTCAGAGAATCACAGGGAGTGCCAGCTTCTGAGCAAAGCACCAGCAAGATAAAATCTGCTCAGCCTGTCCTCATTCTCTCCCTCCCCTCACCCCTGTCTTGTTCCTGCAAGTGAAGAGCAAGGCATGGATGATGTAGGCAGGATTGTTAGGGGTTGACTTGCATGTTTTGGGACCAGGGAAGGTGTTGTGTGCTCCTTCTAGTTCATCCTCTATGCATTTTGATGGGTTGAGGCATGTGTTAGACAAAACTTCTTTGTGATAGAAAACATGGGGCATGATGGTTCCTCATGTCAACTTCCACAGATAAAGAGATGATAACTGGAGATCTGCAGAGTCAAATAAAAAGGTTCGATGTTGCTCCTTGGCCAAATTCACTTTCCCATCTTGGAATAGTTTTGAAATGCTACTTAAGGTTTTTATCTTGATAACAAAGAATACCTGGACATTTGTCTGACTTTTCTTGCTGTGAAGAATAAGAATGAAAATGAACTTTAGAAGAAGGAATAATCTGAAATGTCCAGTAGTCCTGATGTTCTTTTCTCTATCTGAATAGGCTCGCATCTTTGCCAGAGACAGCACCAGGCATTGACTGGGCTTTCTACAAGACTGCAGTTGTGAACCCTAGCCTAGTGGATGAATTTGAAAAGAAGGTGAGGCAGTTTAAATTTTTTGTTTATTTGATGTGTATCCCACTGCAACCAGAAGAGATTTGGCAGTTCATGAATTTCAATAAAAATACAATTAAACTTTCACAGTAAAAAGATGAAAAACAACTAAATATTACAGTGTTACTCAGTCTGATGGCACCAATTCATCCCTCCCAACTTCTCTGAAATACCTTCATTTTTTTAACAATTCACAGGAAGCGAGTAGAGTGAGGGCAGATCAAATTTGTGGGAGGATGCTATTCCAAAGTTTAAGTGCTTCCACAGAGAAGATGTGTCTAAGCCTCACACTCCTTATCTGGCAAAAGTAGGGAATCACAAGCAGGTTCTCCTGAGATGTTTTAAGTCTGGCAGTCAAAACTGGATGGAAAAAGTGCTCCTGTAAGTACTTTTATCCCAAGATATGTTGCACTCAGAAGCTAATAGGAAGCTAATTCAGGGCCTAAAGCATAGTACAGTACTCATGTCACGGCCTAAAGCAAGTACTCTACTCGTGTCAAGGACCTGTCAGCACCAGGCCACTGTATTCTGGGCCAACCAAACCTTTCAAGGATATTCAGAAGTATCTCTGTGAAAAGTGGGGTGCAGTTCAGATAAGTGAGGATGTGGGCATGAATCACTGTTGCAAGGTCTTCTTGTTCCAAGTAGGGAACACTTGGAGCAAAGGCTCCCCTGATCGTGGTTTCCACCTACCCATGAAGTAGTAGCTATGAAGACTCCCCAGGTCACAGACCTACTCCACTGGGGTAGCGCAGCACTGGAGATGTTCAGGAACCATGATGAACAGACAGTAGTTCCATCTTTCTTGGGTTCAACTTCAGTCTGTTTCATCCCATTCAGGTTCTCACAGTCTCCAGATACTGAATCAAGACATTGGGAATATCTTTTATCTAACCTGTGATAGCCATGTAAAGTGTGTGATGATACAGTACCCCAATGACTTCATGTAAATGTTAAAAATCAGGGGAGAAAGAACCAAATCCTGTGGAACCCCACAAGTGAGGAGCCACTTGACTGATCTCTCTTCTCCTTCCCCCTTTTCTCCAACTGAGGAAGAAGGAGAGCCACTGTAGAACAATGCCTCTGATCCCCAACCCTCTGTAAATGGTCCAGAAGGATATCATGGATAATGGTATTGAAGGCTGCTGAAAAGTCCAAAAGGACCAGGAGAGATGGACTACAGGTAGTCCTTGGGTTACAACCACTCATTCAGCAACCATTCAAAGTTACAATGGCATTGAACAAAGGGGACTTATGACCAGTCTGCGAAGTTGCAGCCCTTGCAGCATCCCCATGGTCATGTGATTGCAATCCAGGTGCTCAGGCACCCAGCTCATGATTATGACATTGTAGCAAGTTGCAGTCATATGATCGCCATTTGCGACCTTCCCTGCCAGCTTCCCACAAGCAGAGTCAATGGGGAAATCGGCAGGGAAGGTCGCAAGTTGCTTGTGTAAGTTGTTCCTGCTGCTTTTTCTCCCGAGGAGTCCTGCTACAGAGTGTGAGATCCCAGGTATCTCATACTCTGTAGCACCCCCCTTCTGTGCTCCATAGTGGCCCCTGCCAGCCCACCCGCACTCAATAGTGCCTGCCCATGGCCCCCACTGGCCCACCCGCACTCAGTAGCACCTGCCTATGGCACTCGCCCACCCACCCGCAGCTCTCACTCACCGGCCTGCTTGCCTAGGACTCGGTTACGTGAGGTCCTCTCTTAATGACTGGTGCAGTCTCTGGGTTATGACGGCAACCAGGACTGCTGGGATTGCCATCGTTAAGCAATGCAGTCATGTTTAAGGACTGCATTGCTTAGCGACGGAAATTCCAGTCCCAATTGCCATGGTAACCCGAGGACTACTTGTACCCATGCCCAAGTCACAACAGCAGTAATCCCCAAGAATATCTATACTGTCTTAATATCATGCCTTGATCTGAAACCTGACAGAAAAGGGTCCTCTAGGGTGCTCTATAGGTATATTCTGACTGGAGTCTCAATAACCTTCCCTAAAAAGGAGAGGTTAGGGATAGGGTGATAGTTGTCAAATGCAGACAGTTATAGGGAGGGCCTCCTTAGGAGGGGATGAACCACAGCCTTTTCAAGGCTGCCAGCACCACCCTCTCCCAAAGGGGCATGTTAATCATGCTCCTCTTGATTCCCCAAAGGAGCCAGGAGGGGCAAGAGCCAGGTGTTCAAGTGGCCTGTGCCAGATGAGAGTACCCTATCCATTTCATCAGCATTCAGAAGGCAGGAAGAGTCGGGATAATATGACACAGCATTGCTGCAGTCACCTCATGGAATTCTCCCTATGAAGAGTCAAGGTTTATCCAAATCAGAGCAACTTCATTGGCAAAGAGCTGGGTTAATTGGTCACAGCAGCCAGGCAAGAGAGAGATCTACCTGGAGTCTCTTCCCTAGAACCTAACCTGGACTCCAGATGACAGGCGATAAGGGAGGAAAAAAATGCCAGAAACACTCTGGATCCATAAATCTGGTAAAATTTAAGCAGTTCTTATGAAATACCACGTGAGAACACTGCATTTGTGTAAGATTTGTGATATCGCAAGATTTTGGCTTTTTAAAATTGGCCTTGGTGCTTTGTTGTCTCTTCTTGTAAACTAGATTGCTCTCCTGGGGCAATATCAACTAAATTTTAAAACTCTGAAATCTCTCAACAAAATGGCTGCTATTTAATTTTTTTGCCCACTGGATATCTCATAAATTTTGAAACTGTCTGTGATTCAGGGAACTAATGGAGAGGGAAAAGGGTGTGAGCTAATAGCATGAGGAGATTTGATTGAGACTTTTTGTGCTTGTTCCATTTAATCCCATAAAAGTGTACATTTTTCTAGGAGGTAATATATAAATAAGTCTAGATCTTTTGTCAAATATTTAAGGAGGTTAATCTGCAATAAGTATTTGGAGTGAGAACTCTGATCCTGTGGTTGAAAGCTGCTTATATAACAGAGCAATAAATGCACAAGAGCTTAATCCAGAGGCAGTGGAAAGTATGTACTTTACTACTGAATTAGAAACATTGGCAGAGGGAAGAACATGGTATGGATTTGGAAACCAGAACCTACACATTTCAATTTACTATTTCCTCAATTTTCACAGTTTAAGACACTGCAGATTCCTCAGCCTGCGGATACTGAAACAGCTAAAATAAATGCCCAAGAAAAAGAGACTGTAAGTGTTCTGTTATCCTGTTATGTATTATCTTTTCATTGCACGTAAATGATGTTTGCAGAGGTGTCAGCCTGGGATCTTAGTAGATTGCTCCTGGACTTAATCTTTATTCATGGTGTCCTGCTAATGTCATTAGTTAAATTACGTTGAACATCATTCCCTGCTCCCCACATTCCATCTGCTTATAGATTGCTACCTTTAGGAATTTCTCTGCTGGAGCTGTGGCACTGACAGCAGCCAATTTTAACTACAAGAGTTGCGGGCCTTAAATTGTCTGGAAGAACAATGTGAAGAGCTTCCATTTCCTCCTCCTTAGGGTCAAAAATTGAAATAATAAATATCATTTGTGAGATGCAAAGTAGAAACTTAGAACATGGATACAAAAATGAGGGAGAGGAATAATTTCCTTATTTTGTGAATGCTTTGGAGTTCACTTGTGCTACTTGTATAATTATTTTATATATAATTATCTGCTCTAAATAGCAGTGACTCAAGTTGGTTTTCAGAGTGATTATGGGAGCATCCATTTGCTATTGCACCCATGAGATAAAGCATACGGGATGGATGGATGGATGGATGGATGGATGGATGGATGGATGGATATTTGAGAGATCTGGTAGTTTTGATCTTTCAATCTCAAAAACAGCAGGGTAAGGATTATGGGAACTAGCTACAATATGTATTTTATGTACACATTGATATTTATTTGCAGTGGCATGTGTAAATCCATGCCACTGTAAGCATGGTATTGTTGACTTTAATTAATGGCTGTAATAGTTCAGACCTTGCCCATATTTTATACAACATGCGCAGTTCTTATGCCAGGCGCAGGAAAATGAACCTACCTATTCAGATTTCTAGGAATGTATTTCCAGAATCTACATTTTGATGGCCTGTTATGGGCATATTCCAAATTTTAAAATACATTCAACATTTTCATCATTCCTTATTATGACTTTATGAACTAATGGGCAAAATGTATAACAAAATCAAGTTCTAATGAACTATAAAATGAATCAAACCCAGGGTTTCTGATGCTTTCTCAGCATGGAGAGTTCTGATGATGGAATATCCAAGAAATCTAAAGCCTTGCTTGGCTCCTGCTAGCCAGATGTCAGGGACAGTTAGTTTGTTGTCATGCATCCTTTGCTGTTATTTAGCTGTTCTTTTTTTAAAAAGCTATTTCTTCTCACAAGCAGTAAAAGGGATGTTACATCAGCCTGTTGTGTATTGCATGTTGAAAGCATATCTAGGGTTGTTTTTGATACTGTGAATCCAAAGTGTTCCCTAAAATATTCAATCCTGCCCACTGATTCATTTTCCCTCCTCCCTTGCCTCAACCCCTCAAATATCAAATAAATGTGGGAGGGAGAAGTTTTGAGCACCACTGGGAGGCAGGTTCTGTGATCAAATCCATCCAGGCCTCTCTGCCCCCATAAGTAGATTTTCAAATCCACGGATAGCTTCTCAGGAACCCACGTTTCTCATAATGTTGCTGTCTGTTCTTTCAGGCCAAGAATGCTGCTGACTTCATACAGGCTTCTAAAGCTCGTATTGTTAAATATGAGGAGGAGGTAAGCGAGTGATTTTAATTGTACAAATAGACTTTTGCATTGTACTGTATTTTCTCCTAATGACTTCTGTGTTTTTGATTTTCAGCATTTCTCTTCATCATCTGTTAATAATTATGGTGTTTTCTTTTTCCTCTTAAGCTTCAGGAATTGAGAAACATGATACCTTTTGAAAATATGACATATGAAGATCTACCTGAAAAATTTCGGGACCCTACACTGAACCCAGAAAAATATCCTTATTGGCCATACAAACTTACTTCTGACTTATAAACATTGGCTGTTCAAAAGCATTGTGGAACATCAGTTCTTCTTCAGAAATCTATTAAATAAAGTAATTGCACATGAGCCTTAGAAATTTGTCTTTTGTTCCCTAAGAATCCTGCAATTTAGCTAATCACTACTAAGATTGTATGAGATTGTTGCCTCTAACATTTCTGTTTTAGGGTCCTAAAAGCTGGAGCATTTCAGTTATTGGCTTTGGATTTGACTTAATCTTGTATATTATGGGATCAATAATATTGGATTTGTTCATGATAAATATGGATTATGATGTATTAAAAAGCTAAATATGCTTATATAAAACTGTCAATATTTTATGGATTGAAGCTTTAACCCTTTGAATATTTACCTACCGATATATCCCTGTTAGGTTGTTTTTAATATGGTACAGTTCACAAAGACTGCATTTGTTTTCCCACAGAAAAACTGTTTAATTGTACAAAATTAAACTCCTGTTCCTTCTAAAGTTAATGCTAATTTTATGCTTGTTTCTATTTTCCTACCTATCTTATTCTACTGTCTGTCTTATTTAAGCTATACATTTCTGTCTGTATGTTATGTTCCTCTCTTATATTTTGTACTTTCTGGGAGACTACTTTGGCTCCACTTCCTCATTGAATGACACTCTTGCTTCACCACTGTGCCCAGGCCCTAAAGAAAAATGCTAATTTAAACAGGCCTACCAGAGCTAAGCTGCAGAAATCCAAACCTCCACTAAATGGCAGGAATGAGAATCAGAGAATGGCTAACTTTTCTGCCCTTTAGTGGCCCTTTTGGATTTTTGCAATCCAGATCTTGTAGCCCTGAGGCTGAGGGCTTTGCAGCTCCTCAGTTTATTTAATTTTTTAAAAAATAAATTTAAGTTGACAGAAGTGAACTTAATCCCAGATGATTTTCAAACAGCTTCTGAGAATTTGGGGAGTGAAAAATGCCCTTCCAGTTCACCATAACTGTTTTTTATTTTAGCTCAGAAAATAGATTTATATCTTTGCTACAAGGGGGTCTATATATCTTACCTTGAGATTATGTTCTTTGTTTTAGATATCACCCACAAGCTAAAAATACTGCATTTTTGCACTTCAGGAAAGTACACATTTTGTACTTCCGCAGTGTTTCCAAGTTACACATGTTAACTATCTGAAATATGTCTATCCAATTGTCAAAAATATCAGACATCATTTGAGACATCATGGATGTATGGCCCACAGAGCATTCTTTGATTCAGTGCTGGAATGTCTGTTTCCATTAGTTTTATGAAATGCTTCTCATCACAGATAACCAGTTTGCAGTGTTTTAAAAATTTGATGTGCACATCCTACCTTTCTTAATATATGTAATATATTAACTATATTAATATACTTAATATAGTAACTCAAGCAGCTTGAAAGTCTCCATCCTAGGCACCAACCTACCCATCCTAGGCTGAACCCTGCCCGGTCATACTTGAAGGAAAGTGATTGGTGGTGGCTTTCCTACCAGGTGAGGAAGCTGTGTGGGATACTGGATCCACCAATTGCTACCTTTAAATTGCCCCACAAAGTTGTAAGGACAGGACCACTCCCCAGTCCTGTTACAGAAGCAGATTAGAACTTGGTTGTTGGGTTAGCACAAATTGTGCTGTATGCTTTTCTGCTGACTCAAGGACTGGAGGAATACCCCTTAGCACAGATGCAGTCATGAAGAAGAATCCTAACACTAAAAAAAAAAATGGTGAAACTTTTTTTTTTCCAGTCCTGCCAGAGGAGAAAAAAATTGAGAGTTTGGTTTCACTAAATAGTTAAGACATGGCATGTTACAAGAACCAAAGAAGACATGTCTTTCTATGCCTATTATAAAGAAGAGCAGTCTTTTTTGAGTTTGAGAATTCCCATCCAGCTGCATGTGTAGAGTTTCTGAAAACTGCAGTCCCATTATGTTTGGAAGGGATCAAATCAGGGAAAGCTAGAGCAGAAAACAGTCCGCCCTTTATAGCCTAAATCACCAAAACGCAGTTTCAATTTAGCTTGTTTTCAGCGCTAGCTGTTCAAAACTACTACTGTGGTGTTTTTAATAAAAAAAGCACATAGATTTGCTCCTCACACTGATAGGCAAACTGGGTGCTTTCCCCTGTTTCATCAGTAAAAAAGGTTAATGTTTTTATACATCAGCCACTGCTGCAGCTTCAGTTCCCATCAGGGACAGGCAGCACATCAAATGGCAAGAGTTAATGGAAGTGTGCTCCAGAAATATAGGAGTCACTCACTTCCTCAGCTTTGAGAGTATAATGTTGTTGAGGTTAATTGCTATTTAGCCACTGCCAGTTTGTAAAGACTCCACTGAAAAGAAACTTGCTTTCTTACAGTGGAAATTGCCGTTACTTAAGGGCTTCTCTAAATCTCTTAGATAAATTTACTCTGTATCATTTTCCCTGAATTTAGGAACTGTGGGCAGGGTTATACTGTAGCTGTTATAAATATTATGCTGTTAGAAATATCCTTAAAAGGCACATTGCTAACAAAAAGACCCTAAACAGTACTCAACTAACAACAGAAAACCCTGGCTTACTAATTGCTGAAAATAAGGAGGAACAGTCATTCCGGCCTATTGTTCTAAAGCAGTGTTGTCCAAACTTGGCCACTTTAAGATGAGTGGACTTCAACCCCCAGAATCCCCCAGCCAGCATGGCTGGCTGGGGAATTCTGGGAGTTGAAGTCCACTCATCTTAAAGTGGCCAAGATTGGACAACACTGTTCTAAAGGGTCAGGTTCATAAGGCACCAAGCTCACGTGCAATGAGAGATTATGTATTTACATACTTACTGTGTTTTACCTGTGGTGTCTATGCTGTTCAATTCTTGAAGAGTCTAAGTGGCTGGCATAAACCAGTGCCTAGAGTTAAAAACATTGTGACTATCAAACATTCACCATAACCAAGATCTACTGGATGTACTATCAAATGCAGGTAGGCTAATCCTCAGTATTCCCCAGCCCTCTCCTGGATCTTCATGGTTCTTCAGAAGCCCAGTATCCGCCCAGGGTGGTCTGGATATCCACGGGCAAGTTTGTAAAAAAGAAAAAAAAAGTGTAAGGACAGAGGCTTGTGCAGCTTGAATTGCAAAACTGCCGTAATGAAGAATTCAAAGAGAATATCTCACAGCACTTTGCTTTCTCTCGGGACCAGCTTTCTGAATTACTAGCAACAATTATGAGGTTTGTGATCAGACCAACTGAGTGAGCTAACAAAGACGGAAGGCAGGAATTTCGCAGGGGAATTCACCTGAGGAGAGGAAAAAGGCAGGTGACTGGAAGAGGGCAGAGCTCCTTGACTCCCTCTTTGCTTTTATCTTTTCTCCCAAAGGGGAACTGGGTTCAAATGGAATTAAATAGTGCAGCTGACAAAAGGAAGGAGCTGCAACTCAAGATAAATAAGTACATGGGTAAGGAGCACTTGACTAACATGAATGAATTTAAGACTCCAGGATCAGGCCAGTGAGAGCCAAGAGTCTTGAAGGAGCTTGCTGATGTCATCTTGGAGCCCTTTTCTGTGGACTTGAGAAATCATGGTGGATTGGCATAGTGCCAGAAGATTGGAGATAGGATCTCCTGTCTTCAAAAAGGAGAGAGGGAGAAAAGAACCTCCAGACTTGGCAATATGACATCTTGATGTCCACATAAGACTCTGGGCAGATGATTGAGCTGCCAGTTTGTGACCATTTAGAAAGGAATGCATTGCTTCTCAAGAGCCAGAATGGGTATCCACAATAAGTCATGCCAAATCAACCTGATCGTCTTTTTTGATACAATTAACAGCTTAGCTGACCATGTTAATGCAATAGTGCAGAGGAGTCTCCTGTGAGATTCTAATAGGGCAAAATATTTTGGAAAAGGAAAAGCCTTTTCCCTTCATTCCCTTCTGTACCTTCCCACAACAGTAAGAACAGTGACCAGGAACTTTCCCCCAGAGAAATCCTCTTGGATGCTGAATTACTTGGGATTAGGTAGTGGAAACCCTTTCTCTGCTTTTTGTCCTTTCAGTATTGTAACAGGGAGGGCTGAAGCATGTGCTAAGGTTAAATTGCTTTTAGAATGAGAGAGTCAGTGATTGTACAGAGAAGGGAAGATGGCTTTGACAGAGATATGCGAGCTCTGCTACCAAAGCAAGAAAGGGTGAAATGTGTCTTAAGTCTACAACACACAGATAAGATTTGGAAGAGGCTCAGACAGGTACCTTCCTAGCTCATGGGAGTATAAGAAGGGGGAGGAGGTCCAGCACAATCAGACTTGCAAGATTCTCTTATATAGCCAATCTCAATAAATGTAGCATTAGTCTTCCTATGGAGTTGATTTCTTGGTCTGGTCTACCTAGTGGGGCTGACAATTATTCAATATGAATTAAAATCTTTATTATCTATCAAGATGAAAGAACTAAATTGGAGTTGAAAGAACAAAAGCTGAAAATTAAATAAATAATGACCTGTTAGCTGCTGCTCTGGCCAAAAACACACCCACACATGCACACACAAAGAGAACAAGGGCAGAACAAAGTTAACAAAGGTGCCATAATTCAAAGAGCATTCTGGCCAGGTTCTACCTTAAGAAAACTTGCTACAATCATTTATGGAATCTGATGCCTCAATTCATTGTAATACATTAAATCTGCTCCTCACTATCTTACTAATATCCCGCTGGTTCGACTACAGTTAGACTTGGGTTGCTGATGGCATCATTGGATTTCTGTTTGAATATAACAGAATATAACTTGCTGATAACTCTTATTTCCAAGAGCGTCTAGGCTAGAATAAGGATTAAAAGGTAGCAATTCTAAAATCTCTTCATACTTCTATGATTGGAAGACAACGTCCCTTCTCTTCCAGTTACTGAGAGAAGGGAGAACAAGTAGGGAGACAGAAACAGTTCCAACTAAGCATTGATGGAGAATGGATACCACCACTGAGAAATCCTGTCTTGATCATTATTCGCTAGGTCCCTGAGGACTTCTGGGGCATGCTTTAAAGACAGTATATTGAGATATGGAAATATCTACACCCATTTTCCCACCCTGTTTTCACAAATTTGTCATCAATTTGGAAAGACAAAACACGGAACGCTATATTAAAGAACCAAATTATACTTTATAAAGCTCTGAGGGAAGAAATAACTGAACAAACACATTTCAGGAAAATTTTATTTAAATCTAGAATGATTACATTCCTGGTATCATTAGACAAAATGATTTGTCAATGTAATGGAACATATCTACTTCAGGGATTAAGTGATAGTATCTTTTTATCCATCTGTACAGTAACCACACCTCCTTTATTATAAAGGACAGTCCTTTCTTTCAGAAAGCTGTCCTTTAGATTTATTTAATTTAATTATTTATTTTCTTGGTTTTGCTCTTGAATTTTCCTTTGT